GCACTATACACGTATGGACATTTAACGCATGCCCTGTCAACGTCACGTGTATGGAGTGCGTACTTTGTCAGCAGGTTTCATCATAGACAAGTGGGTTGAGTTTAAAACAATAAAGTAGATGTCTACTATTCATGGTTCCATTGGGAATTAAGCTTTGCCGTGCATTAACCACTACAGTTAAACAGGTTAGTTTAAACAAGAGGAGAACATTGTGATGAGCAATTTGCCCCTAGAACATTGAAAGTGAATGGCTGGAATAAGTCTTTACAAAGTGGAAGATAGCAAGCATAAAGTTAAAACTTTCCAGCTTCTTTTCGTCACTTATGGCGGCCTTTGGAAACAAATCACTATCCGTCGGCAAGGGAATAAGTGACTAGCATAACTCCAGCGCATCATTCGCTTATGACCATCGGTCGAAAAGAACACGCGATATTTCAGTTAAGAACTCATTCAATTAAACTAGATCAACGAGCAGTACCACAGCTATCTAAAGTTGTAATCTACCTGTGGCAACTTTGCTTACAAACAATATAGAGCTAAAAAATTAACCTTGGCATGCTTTATGTGGCAAATAACCGTCTTATACTCAAACCCAAAGTTGGGAACCGATTCGGTCATCAAGGAGTTAAAAAGAAATACAAAAATAATTCGGTTCAGACTTATAAAAGAGTTCGTTACGATTTAAGCCTAACAATTCGGGTAAATTGGAGACCTGACTCGAGGAAACTTACCTTAGAAACCTGTCGATCACTAATTTGACAAGAGATTTTCGTAGCAGCTTCATAGGTTTTGCCGATCAAGACAAGACCAGATGTCATTCTGGAAAGAAGGTAAAGAAAGACATCTAAAGGCTCATTAGCGTATTTGCAAAACCAAACTATTTCAGTAGATATGATTCTCGGCAAAAAGGAGGCTGTCATGGTCACTTAATATCCCTCATGAATGCAAACAGGAAAAAAAAATAATACCTGTCCAACCTATGAACGGCGCGTAAGTTCTTCATCCCCATTTCGTTGTGAAGTATTTTAACAAGTGAGTTGTGATGGTATTGGCCACATGGATGAATTGGCATTGAAGGTGGCTTATTAACAACCAAAATATCGTCGTCTTCAAAAACAATGTCGATTGACTTGTCTAAGAAAATGATCTGCACAGGTGTTAATGGGTACCGAGAATGGGCAACTCGTGGCGATGAACACTGTGCTCCAGGAGGTCGGAATCCTGCAAGATGTAATCTGTGGACACTTTATCACCGTTTACTTTAATTTGCCCCGAAGAGATTCTCTGAACCTAAGGATTTCGAAATCAGTCTGAGCAAAGAAATTTACTATAATATCCATTTCGTCGAAATTGAATTCCTTATCCAGCACATCTAGAAGCCGACAACCAATCCATCTGCGCTTGCAAAAGGCCATAAAAACGTAATTGTAGGGGACAACCTAGAAAGAAGCACAACTGACGGCAATGTTACTTTTCGCAGGCCATTTTCAGAGTAATATTTTACGGATTCACCTCCACCAAGTGAGACTTCACGAATTGCGTTGCGACGCGCGAGGACATCTTTGTGACTCTTTGGGACCAAACACTTGGGTTTGACTTTACTTGGTAAAATGGGAGACTCCATCTTTTTAAGGACTCTGGTAATCCACTGCAAGCACGATCGTCCGCTATCCAGGTTGATCTTTAAAAATGATGTGCATAATATCATCAATTAAAACTAAAAAATAAATTTGCCCATAACATTTATAATTTTTAACGAGTAGTTAAATAATTTTGTATAAGAATTAGATATTTGCAGGTCGTTATCAATTTTACGACCTTGAGATACGCTATACCCACGTGAACTCAAAAATACAGTTGATCGTGGTGTGGATGTTAAACCCTCCGACCTGATCCCGAATTACATAGAGAATGCCTCACATTTTGTCATTGTAATGTGAGCGATGGACGCTAATGCATCTAATTCGGTGCTTGCAGCTACCCAACTCCTTAACGCTGCTGCTCCGGGCTCAATCCCACTTATTGTTACTTTCTGTATTATCACTGCTCTTACGATTCTTGGAAACACATTAGTTATTTCTGCTGTTCTCTTGGTGCACAA